ACCAAGTCGATTATATACACTTTAATTCTCAAAGTGCAAGCATAAGCTAGGTAAAACTACTAAATTACAGATATCACTTGGTACATTTATTTGTTCACATGCACATGAAATTAACAAACATGATCAACCATGTAATTACCGCTAATTAAGGTAGTGCATTCCGTATATACCACTACAAAAAAACACGCCGTTTGTCACGGATTTTTGTCACGGATTCCGGCCGTGACAAATTTGTCACGGGCTTTGTCACGAAATTCTGGGATTTGTCACGAAAATTATTTGTCACGGATAAATCTGTGACAAATAAATCCATGACAATATTTTGTCACGGATTTGGTCCGTGACAAATTTACTCCGGCGACCGGTTTTTTACTCCGATGAGTACTTTTTTGCTTCCGGGCATTTGTCACGGACAGATCCGTGACAAATCCGTGACAAATATAAAAAAAACTCAATTATTGATTTTCCAGCGGTAACCTTTAATAATACGGTATGGGAAAAGATTTGTCACGGATAAATCCGTGACAAATCCGTGACAAATTTCAAAAAAACTCAATTATTGATTTTCCAGCGGTAACCTTTAATAATGCGGTACAGAAAAAGATTTGTCACGGATAAATCCGTGACAAATTTTTTTATATAACCCAACTCCATCGTCCATTACAATTGCAAGAACAACAATCAGTTTAAAAATTCGTAGATTCGAGTGATGTAGTATCGGTTTAAAGATTGAATGATGTAATCCGTCAGTTCATCATTTTCCGAGTTTATGCTGATAAGGTGTGTCATTTTAATTAATTTCTTTTAATTGTGTGATAAATTAATTATTAGCTTAATTAATTAATTTTTATTAGTGAGGTTAGGATTCTTTTTTCTTTATATAATAATAATTAATTATTAGCTTAATAATTAATCAGTGAGGTTAGTTAAATAATTAATTATTAGTTAAATTTAAATATAAATATTAATTAGTTAAATTATTGTTATTATTAATGCATAATAATTTAGGATGTGTAGTGATGATTTAAGTATTAGCTAGCTTATTATAGATTAATTAATTAGTGACTTGTAGTGATTTAATTAATTAGTTAGCTAGCTTAATTATTAGGTTATTAATTATCACCAATTATTATTTATTAGCAATTATTGTTAATGGGATGCATAATTAATATAGCTAGCTAGGATTGAAACTTTATTATTATTTAGTTTAGTGTGAATTATTATTGTGAATTATTAATGAGATAATATTTAACAATAATATTAGTTAAATGTAAATTAATTAACTAATTAATTAAGTTAAAACATTGAGGAAATGGGTTTAGAATTTGATGAGTTGATAATATTAGTTAGATTTAAATATTAGTTAATTGATCAATGATGATAATGCATGATTAGGTTTAATTTGTTTATTAATTAGTTAATTATTGTTAATGCATAATTTAGGATTTGTAGTGATTTAAGTTAGGATTCAAACTTTATTAGTTAAGTGTGAATTATATATTATTGTGAATTAATTATATTTAACAATATTAGTTAAATGGAAATTAACTAATTAATAAGTTAAATTAGTTAATTATTGTTAATGGGATGCATAATATATATAGCTAGGGTTGAAACTTTATTTTTATTTAGTTTAGTGTGAATTATTATTGTGAATTATTTTTGTGAATTCACAATAATAATTCACAATATTAGTTAAATGGAAATTAACTAATTAATTAAGTTAAAACATTGAGGAAATGGGTTTAGAATTTGATGAGTTGATAATATTAGTTAGATTTAAATATTAGTCAATTGATCAATGATGATGATTAGGTTTAATTTGTTTATTAATTAGTTAATTATTGTTAATGATTAATTTAGGATTTGTAGTGATTTAAGTTAGGATTCAAACTTTATTAGTTAAGTGTGAATTATATATTATTGTGAATTAATGATATTTAACAATATTAGTTAAATGGAAATTAACTAATTAATAAGTTAAATTAGTTAATTATTGTTAATGGGATGCATAATATATATAGCTAGGCCGGGTTGAAACTTTAATTTTATTTAGTTTAGTGTGAATTATTATTGTGAATTATTATTGTGAATTATTAATGAGATAATATTTAACAATAATATTAGTTAAATGTAAATTAATTAACTAATTAATTAAGTTAAAACATTGAGGAATTTGAGTTGATAATATTAGTTAGATTTAAATATTAGTTAATTAATTGATCAATGATGATGATTAGGTTTAATTTGTTTATTAGTTAATTATTGTTAATGCATAATTTAGGATTTGTAGTGATTTCAGTTAGGATTCAAACTTTAGTAGTTAATAATTAAAACGATTAATGCCATTAACATATTACTATTAGTTAAATATTAGTAAATCAACGCTTTTAGTTAATGTCACAAATTAAAGTTGGTTAATTCAAATTATTAATGCCACAAATTAAATAATGTACTGCTTTTAGTTAATTAATAATATTAATGTACTTATATATTATTTTGATTATAATATATATACAGGCATAATGTATAGACAAAACAGAAGTTGGATGTACCAAAAACATCGTGATAACTATGGAATACGCAGTGAATTTTTGAATGGTGTTGAAGATTTTATTAAATTTGCACAAGAACAGAAGAATTATATGGATGGAGATAAAATCAGATGTCCATGTACAAAGTGTAAAAATCTTCGATTTAAAGATGTCGACCAAGTTGTGTGGGATTTGTACGAAAAAGGTTTCGTTGCCAATTATTATAATTGGACTTCTCATGGTGAACCTTTCGATCCATCACTTTTACCGCAAATAGTGGGTTCATCTCGTAACGTCCCTACCGAGATGAGTGGATGGGGAGACTATGATCAAATGACGTGGGATCAAAGAATGGCATATGATGTATACGGTGGTTCAACGATGCAGTTTAACCCACCACAGCCATTTAACGATCTTCCCGAAGCTTCGACCTCGTATCAACCCGATGCGGATGAAGATCAGACCTTTTATCAGTCTGCTGCGGATGAGTATCCGAATTCTCATGTTCCTCATATTGAAGACTTAGCTGAAAGATTTCAAGATGTTTTAAAAGCTGCTGATCAGCCTCTGTATGCTGATTGTGAGGGATACTCTCAGCTATCCGCCGTTACAGAGTTGATGAACATTAAATCTGAATACAATCTTCCTGAATCTTGCATGTCTAGGTTATTGCAGTCATTTGGAGGAATGTTACCGCGTGACCATAATCTTCCTGATTCATATTACAAAATGAAACAATTAATGTCTCAGTTGGGGCTTCCTTGTATAGAAATTGATGCGTGCCCAGAAGGATGTATGTTGTTCTGGAAGGATGATGTGGCACTTGAGACCTGCAAGTTCTGTGGTGGAGAGAGATACAAGCATGTTCCTCATAGACGAAAAAAACCACGAAAAAGGTCTGCATTGTCTAAATTGTTTTACCTCCCTCTAGCTCCACGCCTGCAGAGGATGTATGCTTCAAATGCTACTGCGAAACACATGACGTGGCATGTTGAGCACGAAACCAAAGAGGGTTTGATGTCTCACCCTTCCGAATGTGAAGCTTGGAGACACTTTGACCGTTTTCATCCTCAGTTTGCAATGGAGCCACGGAATGTGCGACTGGGATTGTGTTCAGACGGATTTGCTGCTTTTGGAAAGTTTGGGAAGAAATTTTCATGTTGGCCAGTCATGTTAACTCCTTATAATCTTCCTCCCGACATGTGCATGAAAAGTCATTTCATCTTTTTAACTTTAATTTGTCCAGGTCCCTCGGATCCTAAAAAAAGGATAGACATCTATCTCCAACCCCTGATCGAGGAGATGAAAGAACTTTGGGCCATTGGGACACCAACTTATGATGTTTCGAGAGATCAGATGTTTATCATGAAAGCTGCCATCATTTGGACCATTAGCGACTTCCCTGCTTATGGTATGCTTTCAGGATGGAGCACACACGGTCTTATGGGATGTCCGATATGTATGGATCAATCAGAGGCCAATTGGCTCAAATTTAGCGGGAAACCAAGTTACTTTGATTGTCACCGCAAGTTTCTGCCTATGAATCATCGATATCGAAAGGACAAGAAGTCTTTTATTGCCGGAAGAGTGGTACGAGATCCCCCTCCTCCGAGACTTACAGGTGAACAAGTTTTTAACCGGGTTCGACGTTTTCCTACGGCCGTGCAGCAACCCCACGGGGAGCCAAATGGGTATTGTGATACCCATAAGTAGACAAAGAGAAGTATATTTTGGGAGTTGCCGTATTGGAAGGACCTTCTCATTCGTAACAATTTAGATGTCATGCACGTTGAGAAGAACGTCTTTGACAATATATTTAACACGGTTATCATTTTACCCACAAAACCAAAGATGGTCTTGCATCTAGAAAAGACATGACAATTTGGTGCGACAGACCCGAACTTGCCGTCGATCTAGAATACGTGGGTAAAAAAATTCCAAGAGCAGTCTACCAACTCACAGCCCCACAAAGGGAATCAATATTAGAGTGGCTTGTTTCTCTGAACTTTCTAGATGGCTATTGTTCTAACTTGTCAAGATGCGTGGACCTGGACAAACAAACAATGACGTCGAGCATGAAAACTCATGATGCTCATGTAATCATGCAACGACTTCTGCCGATTGCACTGAAAGAGATGCTTCCTGCAGACGTCAGGGGCTGTATTACCGAAATCAGTCAATTGTTTCAGTCGATATGTTCCGCCGTTTTGGATGCCGAATCCCTGAGGAGACTAGAAGACACTGTTCCTATTCTGATGTGTAATCTGGAAAAGATACTGCCCCCATCATTTTTTGATGTAATGGAACATCTTCTAATACATCTTCCGTATGAGGCTTTGAATGGAGGGCCCGTCTTCTATCGTTGGATGTACAGATTTGAAAGGTTAGTCATAATTTCATTTATAAACGATGATTTGTTTAATAAGAACATTTGTTTGTTTACAAATTTTATTTTGCATGACAGATTTCTGGGAGATTTGAAAAAGAAAGCGACCAACAAGGCACACATTGAGGCTTCAATTTGTCAAGCATATATTCAACAAGAAACCTCAACGTTTTCATCTTTTTATTTTGAGCGTGAAGTAATCAGTAAAAGAAAGAGACCTGCTCGGAACGATGACATTGGCGAGGATTCATATGATAAAGTAGTTTCTATTTTCAACTACCCAGGTAGAGGTAAAGGAGCTGCGACTTACCGTTACATCGTGGGCGGAGAAATGAAAATTGCACATACTTACATCCTCATGAATTGTCCAGAAATCTTACCATTTTATAAGTAAGTTGAATTGGTAGTTACATTTGTAATATAGCTAATATTTTTTTAATAATTAGAGTGTTATAATAATATCTTTATGTTCAATTCACAGTGAATTTAGAGCGTCTTTATCAGCATTTCCTGATGATGCAATTGATGCAATGGTGGACTCTGACTTTGCATTATGGTACCAACAGCAGGTATTATATATATATATATAAATACACTATATATACTATTAGCTAGTAATTTTTAATCATTACCTAACGTTATCATGTTTTAATTTGCAGATCAGGTACCGTGGGATTAACGACCCTCTGTTAGTATCATTATCGTGGGGCCCTTCTTCCTATGCAAAGGTTTGGCATTCATATGTGATAAACGGTTATACGTATCACACAGTTGAATATGGAGAAAGTCGACCAACAATGAACAACGGGTTATGTGTCCCGACCATCGGTTCTGATAACTCGGAAACCAATTTTTTTGGTTTCTTGCATGAGATTCTCGAACTTCAAATGCCTTCTGGTTTGCAAGAATTAACATGCGTGTTGTTTCGCTGCACATGGGTCGACCCTACACGTGGTGTGAGAAAAAATTCAAAATATAATATAATTGACGTCAACCACTCTCGTGTGTATCAGAAAAATGAGCCATTTATACTCGCTCAACAAGCAGCCCAGGTTTATTATGCAGAGTATCCTTCAACGAGGCGCACGCGGAATCCTTGGGTGTGTGCCATTAATATCCGTCCGAGCAAAATTGTAACACAGGCTCAACAAAGGGATATTGACTTTGATGCTTTTCAGCAAGATTTTTTCCACCCTCCGCCTATTGCTGATACGATCAACCATAACATTCAGTTAAGTGACCCAAATGGCGGAGATGTTGAAGTTATGCCTGAAACACACCTTCCGCCCCCTATACCTCAAAATGAGCGCGAAATTGAAGAATTATATATACAACAACTGCACGATGACCAGGAGGAAGAAGAAGAATGGATATCTGGTGATGAAGATACAGAAGAAGAAGTTGCCTATCAAGAAAATACTGATTCTGATAGCGATTAAATGTATAGTTAGCAACCAATGTAATTACTTTTAATTGAACTATTTTAATTTGAATTTTTAACTTTCTTTCGTCATTATTATATTATTCCAAGATATAATAGTTAGGTATGTAATTCGCAACTATCATTTCTAAACAAAATAATTATTCCATATTATATTGTAAAATAGCGATTAATTAATTAATAAAATTAAGTTTTTAAAATTATTCAATTGAAAATTAGTGGTTCATTATTATCGATTCGAAAATTTAAAATTAATTAGGTAATTTCGAAAATCGAAAATTAAATAATTCGAAATTTAACATTATTTAAAATTCGGAAATTAGTTTTTTAACATTATTTGTTATTAGTTTTTTAACATTACAAAATTTTAATAATTCGAAATTTAATAAACAAGAACATGAATTTATTTATTAAATTTAAAAACTAAGTAGAAAACACACAATTTTTTATCATTTATTACATTCAACAACTCACAATACAGATAAACAAATAAACACAATATTATTCATTAGCGTCAAAACTTTCATCTAGAGGCCTATCAAGTAGCTCGTTAATTCTTTCTGCAGCTTTCGCGTTTATAGGTATCATATACTCCGAACATTGTTCTGCACGTAAAAGTGCCCTACGCAAGTTTTTCCCTCGTGAAACGTTGTATGAGTCTGATTCATAGTCTATAATATCGCCAAAGCTTTCAAGCGGTCTACTCATCAGCTCACGGATGCTTTGAACTGCTTCTGCATTTCGAGGCTTCATCAACTGTGTAACTTGTTTTAATCTTTGTACACTTCTACTGATCAACTTCCACACATCTGGTTCTGGATTAGCCATTTTTTCGCACCGAAAAAATGGGACTCTAAGCACATATTTATACTTAAATTTGTCACGGATAGGTCCGTGACAATTAAAGTAGCTGACGCCTCGTCTGATTAAGGCTGAAAAAGCTTTAATATTCCCTGCACCGGTTTGTCACGGATTCATCCGTGACAAATCCGTGACAAAATTCAAAAATTTGAATTTTGTCACGGATTTGTCACGGATGAATCCGTGACAAACCGGTCAACCTGCCGTTCTGACGCCTCGTCTGCCGTTCCCTGCCGCCTCGACTGCTGTTCCGCAGTTTACAAGTTCCGATAACTTTGTCACGGATTAATCCGTGACAAATTTCAAATTTAAAAATTCGTAATTAATTTCTCACGGGCTTTGTCACGGACGGGTCCGTGACAACCCCTAATATATAAACGACACTTAGCCATTTTTTTCTCTTACGCTTCCCAATTCCTTCAGCAACCCTAAACGCCTCCCACTACTCCCTTACGCCTTCCGACACCCGCCCACCGCCACCCTCCCAAACGCCTCCCACTCCGCCGCCCTGCTGCCTCTCTTACACCCGCCGACCGCCACCCTCCCAAACGCCTCCCACTCCGCCGCCCTTCTGCCTCTCTTACACCCGCTGACCGCCGCCGCACACATCTCACCGGCCACCGCGGATTATCTCCACCCCTGCCGCCGTTCTTCGAAGCCGGCCTTCTCTTCTTTCCCTTTCATTTCTTGCCTTCTTCTCCGAGGTTATGTTTCTAACTCTTTAATTTCCGAATATTTTAGAATAAATGTTTTAAAATGCCAAAAAGTAAATGCATGTTTTTCTTAATATTCTTTAATTGTTTAATTTAATGTGTATATGTTAATAAGTTATCATGCATTGAATATGTGTATATGTTTAATGTTTACATGTTTCCGAATATTAATATGCATGCTCGAAATTTTATGGCATGTTTTTAATTATTTAATGCATGTTTTTCTTAATATCCATGCATGTTTCTATGTTTTTCATAATATTCATATGCATGCTCGTAAATTTATTTATTTAATGCATGTTTTTCTTAATATTGTTTTAATGTTTATATGTTTCCGAATATTCATATGCATGCTCGTAATTTTATTGCATTTTTTTAATTATAGTCGGATTACACGGATATAATGCATGTTTTCCGAATATTCATATCCGAATAGTCGTAATTTCCATATAAGGCATGTTTTTCTTAATATTCATGCATGTTTAAATGTTCTTCTTCATATTCATATGTGAGGTTAGATTTAACGTTTCATAATATGTGTATCATTTGTGTATAGGCTTTAAATATGCCTTAGATATTGTTAATTTAAGAGAGCCTGCTTTAGAATAGTTAATTATTAAATTTTCAGTCAAGGTTATTTTGAGTTTTTGTTAATTTCGGATATTTATTAAGACTAATAATTTCAAATCCATTAATTTTCGCCCCCTCATGTTACACTTTCAAAAAAGTTAACATGTCTAACCCAACAAAATAATGAAACTGTTAATTATTTTTTTTATAATATTTCGGATATTATATTATTTTTTTAATATTATAAAACACTTTAAAAAATTTTGGATCATTTAACTGATTTTTAAATAATTTCGGATATTATAATATTTTATTTTAAATAAAACGTTGTTTCATAAATAACATAAAACAGAAATGAAGTAAAAAAATGTATTTTATATATTAAAATAGAAATAAAAAACCAAACAAACTGTTTTTGTTTATATAATACGAAAATGATTTCATATGTTTCATGAAAAATTGATTTTATGGGTTTCATGAATAAACAAAAAATGAAACTGATTTTTAAATTTTTTTTGAAAAAATTGATTTTATAGATTTTAAAAATCAGGTCACTGTTTTTTTATAAATTAATACCATACCCAATTAAATTCCATAACATAAAAATCATACAAAAAACTCATTCTACCCCTCATATTAAACTCATGTTTAATATGTTCTATATTTCAAAGATTGATAAACACGTAACACAATTAAATTCAATAACATAAAAATCATACAAAAAACTCATTCTACCCCTCATATTAAACTCAAGTTTAATATGTTCTATATTTCAAAGTTTGATGAATAAATAGGAAACTAATAAGTTTAAACCATTGATACCACACAAAAACTTCATAAACTGATTTTAGAAAACTGTTTTTTATAAATAATACCAAATACAAGATGTAATAAATTGTATTTTTCTAAATTAATGCAAAAAACTGATTTTCGATGATTTATAATTTAATAGGGAAAAACTGATTTTATTAGTTTAAATTAAAAAGTTTGATCAATTGATTTTATATAAGGTTTCATAAAAAATATACACAACACAAGTTACCTCCATAACATAAAAATCATCCAAAAAACTTGTTCGACCCCTCATATTAAACTCAAGTTTAATATGTTATATTTATCAAAGTTTCATACCACACAAAAACACCATAAAATAATACCTAACATCATGAAATTCAATAACATAAAAATCATACAAAAAACACATTCTACCCCTCATATTAAACTCAAGTTTAATGTGTTCTCATATTAAACACCAGTTTAGTATGTTCTATATATTATTTCTCAATAATTTTAGATGAGTGAGCACGAACGCCGCCTTTCCACCATTGCTCGTCGTGGGCGTCAGAATTCACGACGGGCCTCAAATGCTGATCGTGATATCAATGATGATATCAATCCCGACGAAGGACAAGCTCTTGACGGACATGTCCAAACTCCTCCCTCCGAACAATCAGACGCTCATATAAGCGTGCATGGGGAGGGGGCATCATCTCATGCACCTCCTTCATCTCGTGCAATATATGCCCCCCCCCCCCCACTCAAGAAGAGCGCCACAATCCCGGTTCGCTTGAGGTGACACCTCAATCGATCCATAGGTAATAAAAAACTAACATTCTGTAATATAAAATAGTATAATCTCTTTATCTAAGAATTAATACAATTGTTTTTATCAATTATCAATTTTTTGAAGCGATTCCGAGGTCTTGAAGAGAATCAAGGCTATCGTTTGTGGTCATTTCACCGGGCCGTGGTCGACTTATGGTGAGGTTTCGGCGGCCACTCGTGAACTATGGTGGCGGTTGTTCAAGGTAAAAATAAATATTTTTGTTACATTTTAGTAACTTAAATTTAAGAAATGATGATATATCAATGTTTTTCATGAAGGCTTCCCATCGTTGACATTTTGCCCTAGACCAAGCGATTCTCAAAGAATACAATTCTAGGATTTCTGGGTGGTTGAGACCCACTTTTAGGACCGCCCGGTCTACGGGTAAAAAGCCAAAGTTCCTTGGCGATGTTGTGTGGGAGATGCTTTGCCGCCACTGGGCTACGGATGCCTCATTTTTGCCGAGAAGCGAAATGGGCAAGGCAAACCGGGCTTCCGATAAAGCCAAGGAAGTTCAATGGCACGGGGGGCGCAAACCCCAAAGTCAACATAAAAA